TTGGCCGAGTAGGTGTATCTAAAAGATATTTGATTGGTTTTTTGGAATTCTCTTTAACCAAACTCTGACCATTAAATTATGATTTTTAAGAATAGAAATTAATTCTATAGACGTGACTCTGGATATTGGTTGGTCACGACAGTTGTGTGTAGGGTAGGGCATATAACACACACATGCTTTTAGTAGGCTCTTTGAAACTTTTATTCAACCGATCTGAAATTTTCTTTGATTACAACTCTCTCTGACCTTTTTGGTGTATATACAAAGAGAACTTTGATTTTTTAAAACTCTCTTTTGACCAAAAACTCTTTTTGACTAGGTAGGTGCATACTAAACGTTTTTTGATTAGTTTTTTGAAATTCACTTTTGACCAAACTCTTGAACTGCTGAATTATGTTTTTTTTTTAAAATAGAAATTAACTCTATAGACGTAACTCTGGACATTGGTTGGTCATAACAGTTGTGTGTGGGGTGAGGCACAATATACATGCTTTAGTTTGCTCTTTGGAACTTTTATTCGCCCAATTTGAAATTTTCTTTAATCACAATTCTCTCTAACTCTTTTTGGTATGTACAAAGAGAACTTTGATTTTTTAAAACTCTCTTTTGACCAAGAACTCTCTTTGACCGGGTAGGGTATACTAAAAGTTCTTTGATTGATTTTTTGGAATTCTCTTTGACCAAACTCTTGAACCGTTGAATTATGTATTTTAGAATAAAAATTAACTTTGTGGATGTGACTCTGGACATTGGTTTGGTCACAACTAAAGATGTGCGAATGCAAGTTTTTTTGGCATTGCATCACATAATGCAGCATTATGTCGTATAATACATTATGTAATCCTGTGAGTATAATATAGATATCTTAAAACCTATATATAGTAAACAGACTTTGTATTATTATCAGATTCGAAAACATAAACTATTAAATTTTATAGTGAAAAAAGACCTGGTAGATTGATTTTTTATTAGATTTCACAGGCTATTGAAATTGATGAAACAGATGTCTATAAAGTAATTGTTAATGAAATGACATAGATCAAAAATACATAATAACTTCAATGTGCATTTTTAAATTTTAGGCAGCTTGCATCACATTATGTAGCATTATGTAGCATTCGACATCACCTGCATAATGCATATGGCACATCTTTAGTCACGACAGTTGTTTGCGGGGTGGGGCACATAACACATATGCTTTTAGTTGGCTCTTTGAAACTTTTATTCGACTGACCTAATAGAATTATGGGTGGTTTTTGAAATTTTCTTTGATCACAACTCTCTTTAGCCAGTATCATAGTGTGTGCACAAAGAGAACTTTGATTTTTTAAAACTCTCTTTGATCAAGAACTCTCTTTAACTGAGTAGGTGTATACTAAAAGTTCTTTGATTGGTTTTTTGAAATTCTCTTTGACCAAACTTTTGAACTGCTGAATTATAATTTTTTAGAATAGAAATTAATTCTACATTATGGACATAACTCTTGACATTGGTTGATCATAACAGTTGTTTGCAGGGTGGGCACATAATACACACATTTTAGTTGGCTCTTTGAAACTTTTATTCGACCGATCTAATAGAATTATAGTGGTTTTTGAAATTTTTTTTGACTAGAGAGAACTTTGATTGCTCTTTGAAACTTTGATTCGACTAAGTAGACGTGTACTAATAGGTGAATTTTGAAAATTTTTTTGACCCAGAACACATACTTTAGTGGGCTCTTTGAAACTTTGATTTGACCCATCTAATGAATTTTGGTGGATTTTTTTCTTTGACCAGAGCTCGGTAGATAGAACTTTGATTGGTTCTTTGAAATTCTTTTTGAATAGATGTGTACAAAGAGAACTTTCTCTTTACTAGGTGGTGTATACTAATAGATCTTTGGTTTGTTTTTGCAACTCGAATAGGTATATAGAACTTTGGTTGATTCTTTGAAGTTTTCTTCAGAGTATATATTAATTGGTCAAGTAGTATATATAATTTTTTATTTATCATATCTTTTTTCAATATAATAAACTTTTATTTTTTGATATATTTTATAATAAATAGTTTATAATTTTTTATATAATAAAAGTAATTCATCGTTAATTTTTTTATTTGAATAAAATGGTACCTCTGTATAAAACTTTATAACTTATCTTTTCTAATGAAGAAAACTGTATTAATTTTTTGTTTGAACGTGGAATTCTTGATAAAAAACCAATATGTTGTGAATGTGAAGAACCTACAACTCAATATAAAAAATTGTTTAAATATAAACGTAAAAGTTGTCAAAAAGCTGTGTTAATTTTTAAAGGATCGTTTTTTTATAAACGAAAATTAAAAGTTAATAAAATACTTCAAATTGGATACTATTGGCTCACAAAGATGTCATACAGTTTTATTACAACTATTACTAGATCTTCTGCACATATAGTTACTGATTATATGAATCTTTACTGAGATCTTGTTGGCTTTAATATTTACAATAAGCAAAATTTAATTGGTGGGCCTGGTATAATAGTTAAAGTAGACAAATCTCTTTTTAGTTTAAAAAAATATAATTGTGGCTATCATGTAGAAGGTAATTATTTATATTATAAATTTTTAAAAATATAAAATTTAATTAATAAATCACAACTAATGTCTATTAGATATATGGATATTTGGTGGTATTGAATGCACTAATAAAGGAAGAGTATTTGCAAAATTTGTTAGAGACAGAACTGCAGCAACATTGCTTAGTGCAATTGAAAAAAATATCTATCCTGAATCAATTATTTACTCAAATATGTGGAGTAGTTATCATAGTATCACTATTTTGAATATAGAACATTATGCAGTAAATTATAGTGCTAATTTTGTTGATCTTGTAACTGGGGTTCATACGAATACAATTGAGGGAACTTGGAATGGATTTAAAGTTTGAATTCCACCAAGAAATTGTAATATGTCTGATCTTTTTAATCATATTTTAGAATTTATTTGGTGCAGGCAAAATACAAATAATCCTTGGGACTCTTTATTATTATGCTTATGAGATACTATATATTACGAAGAATAAAAATTAATATATCTTCTTTCTTTATAACTTAATTCTAGGTTTGTGGTTTTAGCATTTTTTGATTAATCATATCTGAAAAAATATGACCTGATGTGAAAAAATTAATATTATAACCTATATAATTTGAGTAATTATTACAATATTCATCGTAATTATTATGACATTTCAAACTCACTTTGTAAAATTATTATTAATCTACATATAACATTCTTTAATAAAGTGAATTAATAAGCCATGTCCTTATATTACTATAATTACAGAATTTTCACAATAGACTAGGTTCAGCTTCTAGCATGATCAGTAAAAGAAAAATAAAACTTTACATATATTATTAAATTTAAACTTTTAAAAACCTTATAATAGTATTATGCCTTTCATTATAATATAATTAACTATTATCATATATAACTCTTTCTAATGATTACTTGGACCAAATTTTCTGACAAAAGAAAAGCCTATTTTCGATACTGGAGAGTAGTAACCTGTAGTGAGGTGAATCAACAGGGTGGTTTTTATAAAGGTTAACCTTTTTGCTATCTCAGGGACTCCTTTATATATTTGACATGCAAGCCAAAAGTGTCTGTATACAAGATAACTGGCAGAAGATAGTGCCCTCCTATACGAAATTTTGGTGGATAGGTGGAGGTAATAGAAGTCCAAGCCTACTGTCGACGAAGCTATCAGTTGTGAAACAACTGGGGAACATAAAGAATGGGTTTCTTTAAGCCACACTCCTTTTTATTGACCAAGTGGTACCTACTATCCTTTTTCCGCTTCTCTACCTTTCTTCTAAAATTTTTTGACAAAAAGTGGGGATTTGGCTTACCCCCTCCAAAAGATCAGCATTGTTTACTTCCCAAATTCGAATGGACTAGTAGATTGCAACCACATGTTTGTTTACAGACGGATATGGTGCTACTGCGTGGGACTCAGCCTAGGAACTCTAATTACGGTGAAAGGGAGTCTTGATATAGGTCCTCAGACAACAGAGCCATCCAAACTCAGTAGAAAGGTCAGAAAGAAAATTTTAATGCTTTATCTTTACAAAAGAGATATACAAATGTTGCATTTGTTATATAATTTTTACCAATCTTGTATGAGTTATAATAGTGCCTTTAGAATCTTAGTTTTCTTTTTATGTTTTTTCTTTTTTGAAATCTGTGTTTATTTTTTCTTTTTGTTTGTTTGTTTTTCTTTTTGGTCGTTTTTATATTTGTTTTTTGATTTAAACTTTTTACTCTTTTGTCTTGTACTCTTTGAGAAGAAGAAAGAATTAGAAGGGAAAAGAGGCCCTAAGGTGGGAGCTGAGCCCTAGCTATATTATATCTTTAAATATGATGCACTGTATATGGGGTATAGTGGCCAACATCAGTGCGATAACCAAGATTAGGCATCTTTAAGAGACAGCCGGCTTTTAGTCTAATTCCCTATTAAAGTAGCTTGGTCTTGTATTAAGTATTATACATTTAATAAAATTTTAGTATGTGGTTATCAAAGAAAAATATATATATATATATAATTAACTATTATAGAGAAGTTTTGGTCAAAGAGAATTTCAAAGAACTAATAACTATTCAGTCAAAGAAAATTTTAAAATTCACCCAAAATTCTATTAGTATACGTTTATCAGTTATGCAACTATAAATATCCATAGTTTAGTAGTCAGAGTTTGGTCAAAAGTGTTATGCACACAACTGTTATAACCAACTAGAGTTAATTTCTATTTTAAAAAAATTTATACTGTAATTTAAAGAGAATTTTAAAAACCCAATCAAAGAACCTACTATGATCAGTAAAAAGAAAAAGAAGAGTTTATTATGTATCTGTTGGATTTGAGCCATTAAAAGCCTTATAGTGACATAATTAAACATTGCTCCACAAAAAAAAAATCATTTAAGTATCATAATGAAAGTCACAATATCTTAATTAACTATTATAGGGTCCTCCGCCTTTTAATATGATCAGTAAAAAGGAAAAGAGTAAATATTGTAATTAAACATTGCCCTCACAAAAAAAAACTATTTAAGTATTGTGACTTTCGTCAGATACTCTATTTCTTTTAATATGATCAGTAAAAAGGAAAAGAAAACTTTTAATATGTATTTATTGAATTTGAATCTTTAAAACTCTTATAGTAGTATAATTAAACATTGCCTCCACGATTTAAGATTGTAAAAAAGAAAGTCAAACCTTTATAGTAGCATAATTAAACAAAAAAAAAATTATTTAAGTATCGTGACTTTCATCAGATACTCTATTCCTCTTAATATGATTAGTAAAAAGAAAAAAAGACTCTTATTATGTATTTATTGGATTTGAACCCTTATAGTAGCATAATTAAACATTGCCTCCACGATTTAAGTATCGTGATAAAAGTCAAACCTTTATAGTAGCATAATTAAACAAAAAAAAATCATTTAAGTATCGTGATGAAAGTCACAATACTCTATTTCTCTTAATATGAACAGTAAAAAAAAAAAGAAAGCTCTTATTATGTATTTATTGGATTTGAGCCTTTAAAAACAAACCTTATAGTAGCATAATTAAATATTGCCTCAACAAAAAAAACCATTTATGAAGTCATGATACTCATAAGAAAAAGAAGACTTTTATACCATTAAAATCTTTATAGTAGCATAATTAAATATTTTCTCCATAAAAAAAAACATTTAAAGTATCGTGTCAAAAGTCATGATACTCGTAAAAAGGAAAAAAATACTCTTATTATGTACTTATTGGATTTGAACCTTTAAAAACATTGTCTCTACGAAAAAAAGTCATTTAAGTATTGTGATGAAAGTCACATCCATAGAGGTCAGAGTTTGGTCAAGACAGTTTTAAATAACCAATCAAAGATTTTTCTTCCCAGTTAAAGAGCCTTGATCAAAAGAATCAAAGTTCTCTTTGTACAACACATCAAAAAGAGTTCTGATCAAAGAGAATTTTAAAGAACCAACCAAAGTATTACCAGCCAAAGAGAGTTCTGGTCAAAGAAAATTTCAGATCAGTTAATTCAAAGTTTCAAAGAGCCATCTTAAGTGTGTGTGTTATGTGCTCCACCCCTGCACACAACTGTCATAACCAACCAAAGTCTAGAGTCATATCCATAGAGTTAATTTCTATTATAATTTTGCAATCAGAGAGTTTAGTCAAAGAGAATTTCAAAAAAAAACAATCAAGGATCTTTCAGATGCACTCAAAGAATTCTAGATATTGTCTTCACTATACTATCGATTTTCACTCAGAATAAGAGAGAATCAATTAGTGATCCAAAACCTCTTTTATAACAAATTAACAATTTATTAAACTCTAACTATGTCATTGTTAACTCTAAATCGAAACCTCAATAACTACGTGATTCACGTGACAATCATTAAGAATCCTAACGATTGTATTAAAGACTAAAACCCCAATAAGTCAAAACTTGAAAGAAAGCATACTTCTTTTTTGGTAAAGGTAATTTTGTTCATTATCTTTGACTTCTAGCTAAAGCCTACAACCAAGCAATCAAGATATAATTCAAAAATTACACTTATCCAAAACACTAGTATCACCGCAGAAAGACTTGAAAAGAGCTTACCAATTCTAAGAGTCTTGAGTTGTAAAATTGATAGATTAGTGCTATAGTTTTAGTTGATTTTATCACTTGGAGTTCTGATCAAAGAGAACTTCAGAATCTATGTATCTATTGGATTTGAACCTTTAAAACCTTATAGTAGCATTAAAAAATCATTAACTATTATAGAGACTCAACCTTTTAATATGAATCAGTAAAAAAGAAAATATAATTTTTATTATATATTTATTGAGTTTGAATCTTTAAATACTCATACATCTAATAAATATTAGTTGTGATTTATTAATTAAATTTTATATTTTTAAAAATTTATAATGTAAATAATTACCTTCTACATGATGGCCATGATTATATTTTCTTGAACTAAAAAGAGATTCGTCTACTTCAACAATTATACCAGGCCCACCAATTAAATTTTGCTCATTGTGAATATTAAAACCAACAAGATCTTGGTAGAGGTTTATATAATTGGTAACCGTATATGCAGAAGATCCAGTAATAGCATAATAGAACCATGTAAGATCTTTGTAAGCTAATAGTATCCAATTTGAAGTATTTCATTAACTTTTAATTTTTGTTTATAAAAAAACAATCCTTTAAAAATTAACACCACTTTTTGACAACTTTTACATTTACATTTAAACAATTTTTCATATCACAAGTTGTAAACCCTCCACATTCACAACATATTGGTTATTTATCAAAAATTTCACGTTCAAACAAAAAATTAATGCAGTTTTCTTCATTAGAAAAGATACCTTATAATCAGACATTGTCTCAAGAAAAAAAAATCATTATCTAAGTTTCGTTATGATACTCATAATTAACTATTATAGGGAAAAAGAAGACTTTATATATTTATTGGATTTGAACCTTTAAAACCTTATTGTAGCATAATTAAATATTGTCTCTATGAAAAAAAATTATCTCAAATTATTTAAGTATCATGACGAAAGTCACAATAATCAACTAGTCAAAGAGAGTTGTAATCAAAGAAAATTTCAAAATCTACCCATAATTCTATCAGATCGGTCAAATAAAAGTTTCAAAGAGCCAACTAAAAGCATGTATGTGTTATATGCCCCACCCCTATACACAACTGTTGTGACTAACCAATGTCTAGAGTCATATCCATAGTGTTATTAAAGATAATTTCAAAGATTCAATCAAAGATTCTCTTTTACTACACATCAAAGAGATTTTTTTTCTAATGCCCTAGATGTAGCAAGTATTCTAAATGCAGATGCCATAGATGAAGTTGGTGATGTGACTACTATTGATAATAATAAGATGAGTGCTGTAGCTATAGGTGCAATAGTCAATTTAGAGTAGATCTCGCAAGTATTATATGCCCCACATCTACATACAACTGTCGTGACTAACCAACATCTAGAGCCACGTCTGTAGAGTTAATTTTATTTTAAAAAATTCATTATAGCAGTCAGAAAGTTTGGTCAAAGAGAATTTCAAAAAAACCAATTAAGAATCTTTTAATATGCACCTACCCAGTCAAAAAGAGCTTGGTCTTTGTATACATTAAAGAGAGTTCTGGTCAAAGAGAACCAACCAGAGTTTTGGTCAAAGAAATTTTCTAAAGATTGGTCGAATAAAGTTTTCAAAAAGCATGTTTATATGTTCCACAATCACACACAACTGTTATTACCAACCAATAGAGTTAATTTCTATTCTAAAAAATTCATAATTTAGTTTCAAGGTTTTCTTGTATACATCAAAAAAATAAAAAAAGGGGGTATTGTTAATGCCTAGGTGTTGTGATAGATCTAGTACATGCTGTGGTAGATCTATTAGGTGTCATAGAACTATAGCACTCATCTATTCGTTTGAATCAAAGTTTTCAGAAAATCAACTAAAGTGTGTGTTATGTGTCCCAGACCTGCATACAACTGTCATGACTAACCAATATCTAGAGTCACGTCTATAGATTTAATTTCTATTCTAAAAAATTCATAATTCAGCAGTTGGTCAAAGAGAACCAATTAAATATTTTTTAGTATAAGTCTATTCAGTTAAAGAGAGTTTTTGGTCAAAGAGAATTTTAAAGAGTCAAAGTTCTCTTTGTATACATCAAAGAGTTCTGGTCAAAGAGAACTAACCAAAGTTCTATTAGGTAACAAAAAAAATTTCAAAATCCACCAAAGAGCCAACTAAAGTGTTATGTGCCCACCCACAACTGTCGTGACTAACCAATGTATAGAGTCACGTCCATAGATTTAATTCCTATTCTAAAAATTCATAATTCAGCAGTGATAGTTTGGTCAAAGAGAACCAATCAAAGATTTTTTAGTAATGCATCTACTGAGTTTTGGTCAAAGAGAATTTCAAAGAATCAAAGTTCTCTTTATATATATCAAAGAGTGTTCTGGTCAAAGAGAATTTTAGAGAACCAACCAAAAAGTTCTATTAGTATCAAAGAAAATTTCAAAATCTATCCAAAATTCTATTAGTACATGTCCACTCGGTTGAATCAAAGTTTCAAAGAACCAAAGTGTGTGTTATATGTCATGACCAACCAATATGTCCATAGATGTCAGAGTTTGACCAAAAAGAATTTCAAAAAACCAATCAAAGATTTTTTAGTATGCATCTACCCGGTTAAAGTCAAAGAGAATTTCAAAAAACCAACCAAAGTATTACCGGCCAAAGAGAGTTCGCATAAAAGTTTCAAAGAGCCAAATATTATGTGTCCCATACCGGCACAAAACTGTCGTGACCTACTAATATGTCCATAGAGTTAATTTTTATTCTAAAAAAAAACATAATTCAGAGCAAATTCCAAAAAACCAATCAAAGAACTTTCTTGGTCAAAGAGAGTTTTAAAAAATCAAAGTTCTCCTTGTACACATACCAAAAAGAGTTCTGGTCTAAGATTACTAGCCAAAAAGAGTTGTGATCAAAGAAAATTTTAAAATCTACTCATAATTCTATTAGATTGGTTAAATAAAAGTTTCAAAGAGCTAACTAAAAGCTTGTGTGTTATGTGCCCCACCCACGCATACAACTGTCATGACCAACCAATATCCAGAGTCATATCCATACTGTAAAATTAATTTCTACTCTAAAAAAAACATAATTCAGCGGTTTAAGAGTTTGGTCAAAGCAAATTTTAAAAAACCAATCAAAGAACTTTTAGTATACACCGACCCAGTTCTTGGTCAAAAGAGAGTTTTAAAAATCAAAGTTCTCTTTATACACACACCAAAAAGAGTCAGAGAGAGTTGTAATCAAAGAAAATTTCAGATTAGTCAAATAAAAGTTTCAAAGAGCCAACTAAAGTGTGTATGTTATATACCCCACCCCCACACACAACTGTCATAACCAACCAATGTTCAGAGTCACGTCCACAAAGTTAATTTCTATTCTAAAAAAATTATAATTTAGTGGTTCAAGAGTTTGGTCAGAAAGAATTTCAAAAAAAAACCAATCAAAGATCTTTTAGTATGCATGCACTTACTCCGGTCAAAGAGAATTTCAAGAATCAAAAAAAAGTTCTGATTAAATAGAATTTCAAAGAACCAACTGAAGTATTACTCAGTCAAAGAGAGTTCTGGTCAAAAAAATTTCAAAATCCACCAAAAATTCTATCTATTAGATCAGTCAAATTAAAGTTTCAAAGAGCCACACAACTGTTGTGAACAACCAATGTCCAGAGTCATGTCCATAGAGTTAATTTTATTCTAAAAAATTCATTTTAGCAGTTAGAGAGTTTGGTCAAAGAAAATATCAAAAAAAACCAATTAAGGATTTTTTAGTATGCACCTACTCAGCAAAGAGAATTTCAAAGAATTCAAGATATTGTCTTAGCTATTACTATTGATTTTCACTCAGAATAAGAAAGAAAGAGAGAGAATCAATTAGCAAAACCTCTTTTATAACAATTGATTAAACTCTGATCTACGTCATTATTACCTCTAAATCAAAACTGCAATAACCACGTGATTCACGTGACAAGAAGCTGAAACCCAAAACCTAAAAGAAAGCATTATCTTTAGCTTCAAGCTAAAGTTTACAACCAAGCAATCAAGATAATTACACTTATAGTATTAGCAAGACTCGAAAAGAGAGTTGTAAAATTGATAAATTAGTGTTATAGTTTTAGTTGATTTTATCATTTGGTGTCAAAGAGAGTTCTGGTCAAAAAAATTTCAAAATCTACCAAAATTCTATTAAATCAGTCAAATAACAAGTTTCAAAGAGCCCAAAAGTGTGTTATGTGCCCCACTCCCGTATACAACTGTCACGACCAACCAATGTCTAGAGTCATGTCCATAGATTTAATTTCTATTCTAAAAAAAATCATAATTCGGCAGTTAGAGAGTTTGGTTAAAGAGAATTTCAAAAAACTAATCAATGATTTTTTAGTTCAGTTACCCCTTTTATTATGTATCTGTTGGATTTGAACCATTAAAAACCTTTATAGCTGTATTGTTTCTATGAAAAAAATTATTATCTAAGTATTGTGACTTTCGTCACAATAACTATTATGAGGTCCAATCCTTTAGCAAGATATTTACTAGCTAGAGGTGGTAATTGATCAAAACTTTTTTGATCGATTACAAATGATCGATTATGCTTGATAATTTCTTTCTAAATTAAATTTAATAATGCATTCAAATATGAGATCAGATTTTTTTTCTTAATATGATCACTATATAGAACATAAAGCAAAACTTTTAATTGTAAATCTTTAAAGCTCTTTTATATATGTAAATATGCTATTTGTTAATTTTTATATACTTATAACAAAATTGATAATGCTTAGTTCAACACTTCATGTCGACATTTTTTTTATAAAAAGTATATTAATTATTGGACTATATTTAATAAATACTATTAGTAGCAATACCCCCAAAATTTGCCATGCCGAATTCGTCCAAAACTGCGACAAAAGACCTGAATCGAAGCCCCCAAGGCCACATAAAAGAAGATAAGGCTAAAGGAGTAAGCCTATTGAAAAGCCCATCTGTTTGTAAACAGAAAGCCAAGCAAAGCCAAAAGTGGCATACTTGCCAGGCTTAGATTAAAAAAAAATTGATTTTGTTCTTTTTCCTTTCCCACCCCACATGTACAAAAATTGTATAAAATAGGCTCTTTTTGCTCTTAATAAAGAGCAGAGAATGTTTGTATAAAAGTCGTTTGCTCAACCCACATATATCCTTTTGTCGTCTCTGTATTGTTTTGGTGGTAATTGGTGTAGCCTGATTGCCACAATACAAAATTTTTTACCAATTATACTTCGATCACCTAATAGCTCTACAATGCAGGAAATCTAAAAACTTTAATAACTTTATATAAAATAAAGGTTAGTTAACTCATTGAATATAACTAAATTTGTCATTGTAAATGTTATCATGTATATATTGATCTTTTATTTATAGTTTTTATGCAAAGAGATTAAGATCTTCGCTTTTGAGATTGATAATTTAGAAAATTTATTTCCGATGTGCTACTAGTTTAGTATCATCTCTACATATAAATATTTAAGTTTTTAAATTTCTTGCCACAACACCAGCTACAGCAACTATCTTATCATTATCAACAAGTTTATCTGCGGAATACTAGGGCATTAACAAAAAAAAACAAATTATTGAAGAAATTTTGCTCGAATTAATGACTTCTTGTGAAGAGTAGCAATAAAGAAGAGGCAAGTACTTATTATTATGTTATAATAAAGCTAATTGTACAAATAAACATACTATTATGCTGAAGTATAGTTGTTAGACGAAATCTAAATCCCCAAAAGACAAAACCTCTGCAGTTTTGTCATTTCGTCATTTAAGATTTTAATTAATGAAAGATGAAACTAGATTTCACGTTTCATCAACAAGGTTTCATTTAACAACTATATGCTAAAGAGTATAAAAAGCAAATAATAATAAGTGTTAATAAGGCCAAATCAAAAGTTTATAAAATAATTTTAACTTGTTGTTCTGAAATTAATATAACAACTTTAAAAAAAAGAATAGTAAGATTAAACAGTTTCAATTCAACTGCAGGTCTCGCTCTGCAACAAATTAAAACAATTGAAAATTATTTTTCCAGACAAATCTAGTAATATATATTTTGTTACCCACTAGGACACCAATAAGGCATTTTATCTGGCAGCTTATTATAATAGTGCTTTCCAAATAACTCGAGTTATTTGGCAGTGATTATATCATCTGCCAAATAACTTTGTTATTTGGCAGCTTACATAATCACTACCAAAAACTCAAGTCATTTGGCAAGCACAATCATCGTAAACCACCAGATAATACCGTTATTGTATGCTACGTAGCCAATAACTTGTTTATCTGGCAGTGAATTTAATATGT